TTAGCTGTTTTAGCTCTCATATCACACTGCTGATTTATATTTGGTTTTCAGTCCACTGAACCCTGCCCCCCATTCAACTATATACACATGGACTCATGTATTTCAGTGAAAAAAAATCAACTTCACAAGTATAAGCTGTTACATTTATCTGTATGAAATGTCTTATTAAATTCTGCCTATCATTTTAAACTACTCAAGACCTCCTTCCAACTTGAGATCAACACATTAATGAATGGGTATGCCATATCTGATGTAGGGCAGCTAGGTGGCACCGTGGATAGAGTGCCAAGCAGGAAGGCTTACCTTCCTGAGTTCAAAACAGGCCTTAGACATTTACTAGCTGTGTGACCCTGGGCCAGTCATTTAACTCTTTTTGCCTCAGTTTCCTCATCTATAAAATGAACTGGAAAAGTTATAGAAAACCAACTGAAAAAGAACTGAACAAAAAATTATATACCCTTGACCATAGGTCAAGAGCTGAAAAAAACCTTAGTGGTTATCTAATCCAACCTTCTCATTTTACAGATGAGGAAACAGAAGCCCAGAAAGGTAAAGTTAATTGACCCAGGTTCCATAAATAATAGATGACAGAAGAAAGAGTTGAACCTGGATCTTCTCATTCTAGAACCAATGGCCTTTCCACTGTACCACATTATGTCACCCTGGTCTATTAACCAGTACTGAAACTTTCTAACTTGCAACACAGAAATCTCTCCATCCTTTCTATAAGGATAACATAAAACACTGCCTCTGCCATCAAGAAGTTTACAATCTGATAGGAAAGCAGATAAAATATGTACAAAACAATCTTGATACAAGGCGGTATATAAATGTAAAGGAAAGATTTATTAAAATGCTGGGAAAAGAGTGAGGAGAGCATGATTACTTCTGGAGGGGGAATGAAGAAGAGGAAACAGAAAAGGTTCCATAGAATAAACCACACCCCAGATGGGTTTTGAGGAAGGGAAGGATTTCAAAGAAGCTGAAAAGATTAGAACAGTAATTCCTTTCAAGCATGAACAAAGGTACATAGAAAAGAAAAGAAAGTAACTAATGGTCTACTTTGGCAGGAGCACAGAGTACCTGAAGAAAAGTATAAGACATTACAACCAAGGTTGATTAGAAACCAACTCCAGGGGCAGCTAGGTGGCGTAGTGGATAGAGCACTGACCCTGAAGTCATGAGGACCTGAGTTCAAATTCGACCTCAGACCAAACACTTGACACTTACTAGCTGTATGACCCTGGGCAAGTCACTTAACCCTGATTGCCTCACCAAAAAAAAAAAAAAAAGGAACCAACTCCAGAGGGTCAGCCAGTAGAGTTAACACCCAAAGAATTATTAATGAATCTTGAAAGAAGCCCAAGAGAAAGAGAGCGTGATAGATGACAAAGATTTAGTAGTATCAAAGATCTAGCTATGTGGAAAAAGATGATAACTGAGGAATAACAATTGAATTTGATAATGAAGAGATAATTTAGAATCTTGGAGAGCTGCTTCAGTAAAGTGGTGGGAAAGTTAGCCATATAGCAAGGATATGAGGAGTGAGTGGATGACAAAGAAATGGAGGTAAACAAATGCAAACTACTGTTTCTAGAACTTTGACAGTAAAAGAGAAGAGAGAGATAAGATGATAGCATATTTCTAGGCTAAGGGATCAAGGAAACAAAGAGAGTCTAAAAATAAATGATGACTAATGTATCAATTTCATGAAAGAGAAAAAAAGGGGCAAAATTAACCTTAGTAAGGAGAAGAGTATTTTTCCCCATCTAAAATGGAAAGGGAAGAAAAAAGAATGGGTGTAGAGAATCAGTAGAAGAAAATCAAGGGAGCATATTCTATCAAATGACCAGCATCTCAGTAAAATAGGAGGCAAGACTACTTGCTAAAAGTGAGGAAGTGAGTGAATAGAACTAGGGGCTTAAGGGAAGTAGAAGCTTTGGAGATAAAAGTAGATTTGATAAAAGATGAATGAAAGGAGTAAGAGCCCAAAACATAATGGCTTCTGTGTACCAGTCATATTTATTCTCATTTTAAAGGTAAAAAAATTTAGTCTAAAAATGAGAACTTATTAGAACAGATGTAAGATGTTTCTAGTTTATGGTAAGAAGGGATACTCTACTGAGATTATTATGCATTGGTGATGTTTTGATGATAAAATGGCAAAATACCTAAAAGGTGTTTGGAATGATTTTCTTCATATTTCTATCTTCTCCATTTGAATTTTAAGCCATTAAGGTTAAGAATTTATTCTAAGAGTAACACACTGCTTTATTAGTTTTTTGGAACTTAAAAGTCATTTTAAAATCCACTAAGACAACCTGGAGATAATGGGGCATCAGTGAAGTTCAAAATATACTTTGAAAGGATATAAAGAGTATATATAAAGAGCTACAACCACATATATAAAGCATATTTTTCTCCTTTGCAAGTACATGAGAATCTGTATAGCTTTTGTTGTGTTTTGTTCTGTTTTTGTAAATCAGTATTCCAAGAATTTCCTTAAAATATGGTTCAGTGTTTTATTCAAATTCCAATAAGGAACAGAAACCTTCTTTTGGCTAATGTAGCAGCTTAATTTTCTTATTCGCATGCTAAAAAAGATATTTGATAATAGACAGAAACAACAATTTATATTATATCTTATAGATTATATTCTTATTTCACTTCTCATGTCATTTCCTGTTGGATTTTCTGTTAAGTGCCTGTATTTCAATTTCTGATACTAAAGAGTTAAACCAAGATTATCTGCACAAGTGCCTGGCACAGAGTAGGCAAAATCAACACAACAGAAGGAAAGATTTGCTCACTTAACTGCTTAGCTTATAACAAACTAATGTGGCAATTTAGATTATTAAATCACAATTTGACACGTTAATTTTCAACATCAACCCCACCAAGTAAAGGAGCAATCTTCTGGTCAGTTTTGACCAGGACACAGTGATCTAAGGGTAAAAGCTAATGTAATTTTAACCCAGTCACTGAGCCCTTCTTAAAACAGTGGAATATCAATGAATTTCAAAATACACCTAGAGGTTTTAATTTTCTTTTTCTTTTAAATAAGTACACCAAAATCTGTATTACTAACCTCCTCTTAAAAATCAATGTAGACAGAAAAGAGGGACAACAAAAAGTTTGTGCAGAAAGTTTTTTGGCTCTTCTTGTGGCTTTCATCCTGACATGGATCACTCTTGGTGTTTTTTTGTTTTAGTTTCTCAAAAAATAAAAAAGCATGGTCATGAATTAATTTTCTCTGTCCCAAACAAATATGATGTCAAGGAAAAAATTTTAAGGTAATTATGTAACATTTCAATTAACCACGCCATCTGCTTTTTCAAGGAAGCACGTGTCCAAAATCTATACCTAATTGTAAACACCCATAGAGATTCAAATTCAAATGCACAAATAAAATGATTTCAAATGCTTGACCTTTACCATTTATGTGGCTAAAAGTGATATGATTATTTTTATTCAATTATATATATATATATTTTATTTTGAAGGAATAAAATTGGTTCAATAAATTTATGCATCCATAAATGAACATTCAGAGCTTTCGTGAATCACATTTTTACATTAATTTCAAACACATTTTATTCTGGCTCAGAATTCTTAGACTTGAAGGCATAAGACTGATTTTTATGGAATAACTTTCCTACAAATAAAAAAAAATTGTTAACTCAAAGAAGAGTAAGACTACATATAAATGCACAAGTAAAAAGGGAAATGAAAAATCAAGTTTGAGTCTTTTAGCCAAATCACACATATATCTACCTGTACATACACACACCTATTTTTTTTTCAGGTAGGCTAGTAATTTAAGCACTTGTTTTTCTTCCTCCAGCCTCAAAATACCCTGTTAACTATGACTATGTACACATGTCTTAATAAATAAACAAGCATTATCACAACAGATTACCTTCACTTAAATGCACTCTGTTCAACACAAAATTACACAGGATTGTGGTACCTTGTACTTTAGCCTATACTATAAACTCAATATTATGGACATTCTCTTAAAAATCATAGGTTTAGAATTTGTCATATGCATGATGTGATTGATCACAGAAACAAAGAATGGAATCATAGAATGGCACTGACTTTAGAGATAGTCTAATCTAATCCTTTCACTGAACAGATGCAGTTAACTGGGGTCAGAGAAGTGGGAGCAGAAGTCAGATCTCCTGACTTTCAATTCAATGCTCTTTCTAGTTCCTCTTCACTAAAATGTTGTTCCTTAAACCAAAATCAAAGTCTATGTACAATCCCTGCAAACCTCTTGCTTGAATTTGCAGACCTCTTTCAAAAGTCTTATGTAGACATACAGGGCCACAGGAAATTACTGCATAGTTGGTGCTTAATAAGTTGCCTGTAGTACTAAACCACTATGTTTAGAATGATTACATGGTAAATTTGGAGAGCTAAGCCAGATAACACAAATACAAAAGAAAATAAGATTGAGTAAACTTAATGATTACTTAAGTCCTTTCCCAACTTCTCCTTTCCCTAAAACACATCATATAGATAATTGTGGTTGAGGACTTTGAAAATGTTCGACATGTGCAAGCCTTAAGATTTTTTCAAAGTATGTTTGGTCTAATTTGCCTTCTTTGTTCTAATGGAATGGATAAATGTTTGATCTACCACCACCCTTTAGTTTATATTTACCTGAGAAGGTCTAAGAAACATCTTAAAAGTAATCAGGTCATAGTTTTATAGCCATTAAAGACCTTAGGAGCTATCTACTCCAACCTGCTCATTTTACAGATGAGAAACACAGGCCCAAGGAGCTTAAGTAATTTGCAAAGATTACATAGGACACATCAGATGTGAAACTTGAATCCTTTGACTCTAAACTCAGGTGTCTTTCCCCAGCACCATACTGCTTCTCATTATCGAAGGTTTGGATCTAAGTTATACTAAGCAAGTGCTGAAAAAAAGTGGGTGAGAAAAAGATAATAATTGTCACAATAACATTATGTTGTTTCCTTTTTTCTTACCTTTTCCAGTCTAATAGCTCTTGAGGTACAGGAGAAACACAACAATTGACCATGAAGAGAACAAGTTCCGTTATTCTTTTTGTCCCTAAATGTTTGCAAGCTTCCTTGAGTTGATTTTTTGATAATAAAACAAAAAATAAATGTCAAGTTTTTCAATATATTGCTCCTCTTTTTGTAACTGCCCACATAGAAATAGTTCTTGGTGTCTAATTTTGATTTGTTAGTTCTAGCAGCAGTGGGAAGTCCCAAGGGCAGGCTGGTGGGTGGTTTGGAGGGAAGTAACTGACAGAACTTAAGTCTAGCCACACAAAAGTATTTCTTCCTCTTTTTGGTGAAATGAAACTCATCTATGAAACTTATGTTTGCTAAAATAGTTTATTGAACAACATTGTGTAAGTATCTATCAGCATCATTTCATCTAAAAAACATAAAGACAAATTATCAGGAAAACCAATATTAAAAAAACAGCATCATATCCAAGTCAGATAAGGTTAAATTAGTCAAATCAAGACCCATTTGGCCCTCTCCCTGCTTCCAAACGGTAACGGTCTTGGTCCCTTGGAATCATAGTGGAGATACCCTCTAAGACCATGAAGGACCAGTGAGTCACCAATTACAACCTTTCTGGTAAGACGAAAGATTACTAGACCCTAACATGTGACCCACCACTTTTTTCCAAGGTCCTTCAGTCTTTCCAATGTACCCTGCTTTTGTGCCCTCCACGCCTCCCTGTACTGCAATCAGATTTTTCGACTTCAAGACTTCTGGGCCTTCCCAACCTCCTTGTAGCTGAAACCTTCATAGATGATATTTTCCTGAATTTGAATTGTCTTGCTTTTTCTATTTGTATCACCAATGCATAGCACGTAATAAGACCTGGGCCTTCAGTCAAGCAGACTTGAATTCATATATGATCTCATACATACGCTGGTTATGTTACCCTGGGCAAATCACTTAACCACTGCCTTCCTCAGTTCCCTCATCTGTAAAATGGAGATAATACCTACTTGCCAGGGTTATTGTAAGGACAAAATGAGAAATTTGTAAAATTCTTGCAACTTTAAAACATTATATAAATGCTATTATTATTATTATTAAATGCCTTTTCATTCATTCAATTCAACAGCCTCATATCCAAAATAACCAATCTCCACAAAATATTAATTAACTTTCTAGGAAAGTATGCCTATATATAAAATGCCTACACAGAGAAATAGGGCCAATAGGTAGAATGATTCATTTCCTGATAGTCCAAAGCAGGGAAAAGAAAGTTTATAGAGATAAGCCTGTCTAGAAGTAGGCCAATCAGCAAGAACCAAATGTAGATATAATCGTTATTTTGACAAGGTTTGGGCTGGCTGCCTTTTGGGGGGAATTATATGACTTCTCATCTCAGGAAGAGAGGGGTTTATTATAGGAATAGAACTGGAAGGTGGAGTTTTTCTGTTTCCTCAGCAATTTTTTAATTCCTCTAGAGAACAACTTGAGGAGAAAGGGTTGGAGAGAGTGGTGGCAGGAGCAGCGGCAGCAGCAGTAGTGGCAGTAGTGCAGTAGGTGGCTGATGATTTCTGGGAGACTGACTCTAAGCATTCCAGCAGCTTTTTTTTTTTGTTTTCCCTGTCTCCCAACTCAGTTTATTAAGAGAATCCAGTACAGAGTAATTTAATTGTGGCTGCTCAGAAAAACAGATGGAATAATGAGTTTACTCTACTCTCTGTTTCTCCCTTCTGTCTTATCGCTACATTCAGTGGACAGCATGGTTCATTACTAAGTGTTCTCTGATGTTTTTAAATTGTATTTACCAGTTATTTAAGTTTTACTATGATTTACTAGATAAATATAAGATGATTTTAATTGTATCCTAAATTGAAGTTTTTGTTATATAGAGTATAATGAGAAAGGGGCTGGGGGAAGGTAGGAGAGAAACTTGTGGATAATTGGTTGTCAAACTCAACTAGCTAAGAGAACATCCTTTCTGCTTAGCAATCAATAGATTGCCTGGAAGCTCAATGCATTTTATGAATTTTATTTATTTTTATTTTTTTTCTATATTTTTAAGCTTTCTAAACTTTTCAGAGAAAGGAAACCATAGGGAACTGGGACTTTGGCCCTAGATCAGAGGTGTCAAACATACATTTAATGGCCACATGCAGCCAAACTAAGTCAATATTCAGTATGTAGGGATCCTTATGTACAATGTAATGGCCATTTTTTGAGTTTGACACCAATGCCCTAGAGTAGGGCCAATCACATTGGCTCCATGAAGACAGGTTGAATTGTACCAAAAGCCTTTGGATTTCTTTAAACTCCACCCTTTGTCCCAAATGAGAGATATGGAGGAGGGTGAAGACCTCAGAAGAAAGACAGGCCCTGAGCCAGTCCCATTGGGCAAAGATAGGCATGATCAATTCTACCCACTTTCCTTGAATTTAAGGAAAATGAAAAGTGCTCCTCATCCAACCTGCCCTCCGATGTGACCTATGCTGGGTATCAGAGACAAACATTGAATATCATTCAAAGCCATCAGGATTGTTAACTCAGACTTTAAGAAAGCAAGATACCCAAGGGCTACCTTCTTTTGAGTTCTTTCTATTTAGTTTATCAAATTTAAAATTCTAAAAATTTCCTTCACATAGGTTTTGAATTGTGTTTATCTTTCCTGCAGACAAATTATGAGGATTTATTACTAATACAATTCATTCCAAATATGTTGACATTCCATTTAGTTGTGAATTACCCTTATTTGGACAAAATGGTTAGACCCATTCCAGATAATTTCCACTTGTGGGCCATTACATCTGCACATAATGTATCTTCACCACTGAGGGTGGAAGTGATCATGTTGCTGTGTATTGACCAATGGTTTTGGTTAGGGAAACACAACAGCTTGTAAATATTTAAGAAAGGAATTAACAAGATATATTAGTATGGATTCCTTAGACTGAGGCCATTTCTGTCCACTGAAAGTTTTGTTTTTATCTATTTACGGCTTCCAGTAGGTGTCAATTTGGCCAAACTAGGAAATACAAATGTTATTTAATCTCAATTGAGCTTTCACAACTAGCCACCAATCCTTTTACTCCTTCCTGATTGACTTATTACACTGCCCTGATTACTTGTTTCAAAATGCTTCTCAAGCCACCTCCACTGACCTCCTTTCCCCACCGGCTGAGAATAACTTATTTGCCTCATACTTTAGTAAGAAAATTCCATCCATCATTGGCCCACTCTTCTCTCCCCAGTTCTGTACTTCAAATTCCCTCAATATCATCACTTGTTCTCTCCTCCTTTGAGGTAGAGATAACCCTTCTCTTTACCAATGCCATTACCTTTACTTATTCCCTTGACCTCATTCCCATTCATCTCCTTCAGGACATTGTTCCTGCAATCAATCCCTCTCGATCTATATCTACTAGCTTCTTTGCTGCTGACTACAAGCATATCCAGATTTCCTCCATGCTTTAAAAACCTTTAATTGACCCTATCATTTTCCTATTATCCTGTTACTCTCCTCTCTTTCACAGCCAATCTTCTATGGGGTGGGGGGTGGGGGTCAAAGCTGTTATACTCATTGCCTCCACTTTCTCACCTGACAACCAAACCCTTGCAATATGACTGCTGACATCATCAACCAAGTAAAATGGCTTTCTTCAGAGTGGCCTGTAATCTCTTTTTTGCTAAGTCTAACAGTTCTCTTATAACCTGACCACTCTGCAACATTTTGCACTACTCTCACTTCTTATACATTCTCGTTTCCCTGGATTTTCAAAACACTCTTGGTACTCCTGCAATTACCTGTCTAAGCTACTTCTTAGTCTCTATAGTTCCTGATCTGTCCCCTAACCATAGGTGTGTCCCAGAACTTTGTCCTATGACTTCTTTTCTTCTCTATCTAAACTTAATTTCTTAGTAATCAAATCTGATTTAATTATTATCTCTTTGCAGATGACTACCAAGTTTATATATTCAGCTTTTATCTGCCTCCTAAGCTGTGGTCCCTTGTCACAAACTGCCTGCTGGACACCTTGATGTCCTATAGGTATCTCACCTCAACATATCCAAATTGGGCTGATTAGCTTTCTACTGAAACCCTCTCTACCTGACTTCCCTATTTCTGTCTAGGGTACTGTAATTCTTTCAGTCACCTAGATTCATAACCTTGGAGATTCATAACCTAGGAATCATCCTTTACTCTCATTTAATCACTTTATACAATAAGTATATTATATCACCACAATATCTCTCTCAACCAGTTTAATCAATCAACCAACAAGTATTTGTTAAGTACTACTATGTGTTAGGCTCTACATTAGGCAATAGGGATACAAAGACAAAAATGAAACAGACCTTGCCCTTACCCTCAAGGAGCATCCTCTAACAGAAGACTATATGTATATGTATTACGTATGTATATACACATATGTATATGTGCATACTTAAGATTTATGCACATGTAAATATAGGCTCACATACATGTGTACTTATGCATATATGTATATATGCACACACATGTATATATATGTATTTCAAGATCATTTTTAGTGGGAGGAATTAATAACCAAAGGGATCAAGAAAGACTACAAGTTCTTAATCTGGATTCCATTCATTGTTTTCAAGATTTTGATAACTATTTCAATATACTTGATTTCCTTTGTAATCTGATATATTTTATTTTATGTATTTAAAAACATTATTCTGAGAAAGAATCCATAAGCTTCATTAGATTGCCAAAGAAGCTAGTCAATGACACAAAAAAAGTTAATAACTCCCAATGTAAATGTAATGCTTAAGCTGAGTCCAGACAGAAAGCTGAAATTCTATTAGCTACTAAGTGAAAGTTATATTCTAGGGGCAGCTAGATTGTACAATGGATAGAGCGCTGGCCCTGAAGTCAGGAGGACCTGAGTTCAATTCTGGCCTGAGACCTAACACTCGACACTTACTAGCTGTGTGACCCTGGGCAACTCACTTAACTCCAATTGCCTAAAAAAAAATTATAAAAAAAAGAAGTTATATTCTAGGTATGGGGGACAATGGTACAATGGAGAAACAATAAGGTGAGTTTGGTTGGACCATAGAGTGCATGAAGGAGAACAAGTGTAATAAGACTGCAAGGGTAGATAGAGGGCAAGTTGTAAAGGACTTTAAAAATGCCAAACACAGGAGCTCATATTTGATGATGGAGATAATAGGGAATCCGTTGGATTTTATTGAGTATGGGAGTGATAT